TAAATATTGTGACATTATTTACTGAAATCACCTTTTACAAATAATTGAATTTTATGTTCTTTTTCCGTGTACTCCGTTGAAATAGAAAGCTGCGCCAATTGCTGCTAACCTTTTTTCTCCAAGTCGTACGCGTTTTCGTTTCGTAAACAAATACTGCATGCGATTAAAAAAAAATAAAAGTAAAAAGGCTATTATTATTAAATTATTGAGATAAGATTGTGCGACATGTTTATTTTGTTAAAAAAAAAAAAGCTAATTCAAAATCTATAAATGAGCTGAAAATTTGTATACAGTCAAAAGTCTTTAATCTGGACTCGTCAGGACTTCGGCGATTCCGGATTATAGATCATCAGCTTAAATCTGGTAAGATGGCATGCAGAAATTATAAAATTAAAAATATGAAACCGTAATTTATGAAATAAAGAACAATTATGATCTAAAGGGTATCAAAATTTACAAAAAAGAAAGCTTCATATTTATTTGTTTACTTTATTAAACATTTCTTTCAATGTAAGTTGTTTAAGTTGCTTCGTTTTATGTGATAATACTTTCTCTTTAATTCTATAAACAGACATAATTTCTTGTTCAGTTACAAAGTTCCGCTGTTCAAGTCCTATAATTACTGTGTAGAGAATACCGACTAATTTGTTAATTGAAATTTTTTCGTTTTCAATAACCTCTGTGTCACTTTCTTCACTATCGGAAGCGAATCATAATGACGAGGAATTTGATTTAAATGATATCAAAGGCAGAGTACATCGAGATGAAATACTACATTTAGTAAGGAATTATAAGCCAAATAAAATAAAAACATCTGCCCTGAAAATAAGGATAGTGCTGACAGATCAACTTCCCATTCATTGCGCGCCGGAAAGCAGTGTGAAATTGATAAACAGATTTCAGAATGGTTTAGAGAAACGAAGGGTATGCCTTTATCAATTTTTTGCAGCAATTCCACTTTTTGTTTAATGGACTTCAAAACATACTTTCGCTTTGGTAGATCCTTTACATATTAGTAAATATATATCGGAAATTCTATTTGACATAATCGAAAGTTCAAGCTTTTTTATAAAATTGCTCTAACAGTCTGCAAAAAATGATAAGCCGGATCCAATTCGAAGATTAAGGAACAACACAATCTGCAACATTAACTGAATTATATAATTTTAGCTTAGCTTATGCTGTCTGTTATGCATTAAACGCGCATGGATAAATGTATTATGTGCACACACATATTTGCAGCCGTAAAGGTGTTACGTGCATGTGTCAACGTGACACGTGTGCAGAAAGTTTGTAGCTTTGAGGTCCGGATTATGGGTGTCCAAATTAACAACTTTTGACTGTATATAGTATGTGAAAAAAAAAAAAAAAAAAAAAATCAAAACTATATCTGAGTGAACTTTTGCAGGTTTGAATGAGGCTTTCATCATTATATCTCTAGTAGTTTTCACTTTTTATTCATATCTATTCTTTTTTTTTTTTTTCCCTTTTCTGTGAAACAGTCAGTTTTATTTAAGCCTTGTATTTGTTAAAATAAAAGCATGTATTTTTAATTTGTAGTTTGTATTTTATTTACACTGTTATATGTATTGATTTTTTAAAAGTAAATATCACATTCTTTATATATCTATAGAGATTTCCATGGTTTTACAAGCTAATTTTTTTTATACCATCCCCCCCAAAAAAATATTTCATAAGTCAAATTTCCCATATCAGAGCCATACATAGGGTATTGTATTTCATAAAGTTATTCATGTAGTATATAAAAATGTTTAGTTTCTATATTTAGGCCAAATTGTGTGTTTTTGTTTTAAAAAGCTCATTCACAAATCAAAAATAGAAAATCTGGAATATACTTGACTACCAGTTTGAGTAGGTGATTTTTAGCACTTGTAACTGATATACTTTAGGAAAAAAAAATTAAATAAATAAAAAATAACATTAATCCACTTAAAATAAAAATATACTACTTTGTATGAACACCAAACTTTTAAATATGAGCAGGACATGCTTTTCAAATGAAAAGCTTTATTTCTTCATCAGATGCAAGTTGGATCCTTTGCAGCTGGTGAAAAATGAAAGCTTTTTGTTCAAAATGTGCATCCCGCTTGGTTTAAAAGATTGGTGTTTATACAAAGTAGTATAATTTTGTTTTACTTAAATTTTGAGTGTTTATTTGTAATTAAATCCACTTACTTTATAGTAAATACTATATTTAAATGCACATTTTCGTAATGTGTTTATTTAATTGGGATACAGGAATAAAATAGAATATGTATATTCATGTTTGAAATTATAATTCAGAAAGAAAATTTTACTTAATGTACATTTTTGGAAATGTACATTTTACAGCTGATGTGCAAAATATGAAATCTTACTAAATTTAATGTATAGCAGCATAGAGTTAAAGCAGTAGCTTCCAAGTTTGCATGAAATTATTTTCTGGACATTGCTAAGTTTATAAGCACTTTAATATGCAAGTAACTGAATAAAATGTGCATTTACAATCAGAGAAAGATCTTTTTAAAAATAAAAATTTTATTTACTATTGTACATTTCCAGTATGCAAGTACTATTGGTAACACTGAAAGATCAAAGGTAAATGAAATTGTTCCAAAAACTATTTCTGACTTTAAATTAAGTAAAATTATGCTTGCTTAAATATAAGAAAGTAAAATATTTTTCTGTAGTAAGATTTCAGTATAATTTATCTTTTTGTATCATAAACTATATTATAAGTTTGGACAGTAATAGTTTATAGTTCCAGCTCAAAGTCTACAGTCTGTAAGTATATATTTCATCAATTGCATAAATGCATATATTACAATGTGATTTTCTTTTTCTCTTTAAGATGCAATGCATTAAAAATAAACGAGATTTTTTTACCTTTTCAAATATTATAACAGTAGTGCAATTAATTTTTAATGTTATTCAAAATTAAAGTTCCATCTCAATTTTTATTATTATTTTAGATTTTCTTCCTAAAATGATTTAATCTAAACATCTTAAACAATGGCGCAAATAATTTAAAGTGATTATTAAAAATATAGATAAAATATTCAGGAAAAAAGGGGTTAAGTTATATCTAAACATAATTGTAAAAAATTGAATAACCTAATTTGAGGTCGTTGTCTGCCGACTGCCAGCAGACGAAAATAAAAAACACTACCTGCCATATCAAAAGCACGCCAAACTGGCGATGAACAGCCAAAGCTATCACTCCCAAGAGCGCCAAGACCACAAGTCACCTAGTGTATGTTGGAGACAGCCTAGCAGACGAATTCTCTGTGGGTGAGCCGTCTACCTGTTATATGAAGTCGTTGATTGACTCTATTGTCAAGTATAGTACATCAAACTAAAGGAAATTCAAAGGCCTACCTTTGCAGATAAGAATGAAGGCGATATTCTTGAAAGTTATTGAAGAATCAATCCAGGAAAATGGCGCAAAAGTAGCTTTTACAAAAAACACTATTAGTACACTATCACAAAACACACTTACATAAAACTTGCATTGGAAGAGGCTGAAAAACACCAGCTATCTGATGGTATTTTGGATGAAGGCGGATGCCTGCTGGAATTTGCAAAGTCCTTTAACAAATGTGATGATGATCACAGCACTTCACTAAAAATTCATCCTTCAGCATTTGGATAAAGTTAAGGACACACACACAGTGCAAATCAAATATCTCCATAAGAAATGTGCAAAAGATATTGGACCAATGATTGCACGAAATAATAGCACTTGACAAACACTTTCGAATGATACTACAATTATTACTGTGGAATCAAAACTTCCATAAAGAACTTGTGATGTTGAAGGTTCATCTTTCTGCATGTTTTAGCAGATCAAATAGATCTGCAGTCCTGTATAACGGACAGTATAAGCTAGGCTAAAATGATCTAATTATCTATTTCAGTTAATGTTGCAGGTTGCGTTGTTCCTTAATCTTCTAATTGGATCCGGCTTATTATTTTTTGCAGACTGTTAGAGCAATTTTATGATTATGTCAAAAAGAGTTTCCGATTCTGGAGCTGCCAAAGGATCTACAAAGAGAAAGCATGTTTCGATGTCCATCAAACAAAAAGTGGAATTGCAGCAAAAAATGGATAAAGACATGAAGAAAGTGACAGAGAGGTTAGTGAAAACGAAAAAATTTCAATTGACAAGTTAGTCAGTATTCTCGGCACAGCAATTACAGGACTTGAACAGCGGAACTTTGTAACTGAACAAGAAATTATGTGTTTATAGAATTAAAGAGAAAGTATTAGTATATAAAACAAAGCAACTTAAACAACTTACATTGAAAGAAATGTTTAATAAAGCAAACAAATATTAAACTTTTTTTTTTTTTTTTTTTTTTGTTTTTCTTTTTTGTAAATTTTGATACCCTTTAGATCATAATTGCTCTTTATTTCATAAATTATGGTTTCATATTTTTAATTTTATAATTTCTGCATGCCATCTTACCAGATTTAAATTGATGATCTATAATTTGGAATCTCCGAAGTCCCGACGAGTCCGGATTAAATACTTTGTACTGTAGTAGTTTCTCTTCTGCTGTACCTCTTAATTTGCATAGTTGGTGCACTTTAAGTTCTAATCTAATACTTGAAGAATTTAGTGAGAAACTATTGCCTGTGATAAACTGTTTTACAGAATGTGCTGAACTTTTAGTTGTTAGCAAAGAAAGATATAAATGTAGTAATTCCCAGAACTTGCCTCCCCACACAATAAGAAAAGTTAGCTAAACTTATTGCTTATTTTTTTAATGTTGAGAAACAAAAAAGTAAGGAATTTTGGGAAATGATTTAGGGAAGCATAAACTAATTTTTAATGATTTAAAAATTAATATATTTTTTCTTCACTACATGTGTGTTTGTCTCTCATTTAATGTGTTAAAAATATAGAAGTGGACTGGATTGATAAATTTGAATAAAGAGTGTATCAAACTTTTTTCATAATTTTATAAATATTTTGGGGGGATTTCTATGTTTTTTAGGAACAGGAAATGAAAAGTGTGTACAACAAAGCTCATGTACTAGAATCTCACGTAGAGGAGAAATACTGTAACCAGCCTGAAATGCCAAGCAAATTTCTTGAAAGGTAAAACTATGTGTTCACATATATATATAAATAAATTTATTTTCTATTATTCATTGAGATTTGAAGTTAATAGGGCAATTTTTTAAAAATATTATTTAATACAAAAGTGATTTATAAATAGTTCTATAAAGGTATTTGGTCTTAACCATCCTGTTAGAATTATGTTAGAGTGATTAAATCTGTGAAATATAGGAAGTTCAAATTCTATCACTGATAAGCTAGATGGCTTGGTTGTATAAGATTTTCATGATTTTCCTTGAATACAGACCAATATATAGAAAGCCCTCTCTTTATAAAGGCTTCTTTCATTTTACACATGTAGTCCTAGTGTCCTTTGGCATTGTTAAATATCCCAGTGTAATCCAGAATTATATTTTATTTTTACTGTATTGTAGACATAGTATTAATTTATAATGAAATCCATTGTTTTGCTGAATAAAACAAGTATGACAGCAATATTTATTCACTTTTAATTAACCTTGCTTGAAAATGTTAATGGCATAAGAGTGTAGCTGATGCTTTTAAATATTCAGTGCTGAATTCAATTGTCAACACAAAGTTTTTAAGCAAACCAGCTTATATTGCAGTCTATGATGATGTGGGAGCAGAAAGATGCATTTGCATGTACCTTAATAATAATTAATATAGTTCTTCAGATTTTGTGTGTGTGTATATAGTAATGCACAGATGATAGCAAAAATGTTTACTTTCTTGTTTTGTTTACTTGTATTAGGGTACTTTTCTTCTATATAAAATCTAAAAAAATGAGAATTTTTATTCAATGTTATGTCACTTTTTAGAATACTTAATGACAAATTTAATGCTTATAACTTTATTTATTTTTATTTATATTTATTTATTTATTGTATCCATATATGTGAAATTGCCATATGGATTTCAATCCAGATTTCTAACATGGACAAAATTCAATTTTGAGTTTTGACAAAGTATTTATGTTTTAAGGTAAATATTAACACAATACTTCATGAGTATTTGATTGAGACAGGAAATAATGCTTTGACTTTGCACAGACTATGAATATTTCATTTCATAATGTAGAGTCAGTTTTAAGAAAATATCTCATTGCAAGAAAATTCTCAGCCCAGCGGTCTTCAGAAATGTAATGGAGACATAGGAAACTGATTTTGTGAGGATTTTGGAGACATGTTTGATAATGTTTCAACAGTTTGGAATTTTTATATTTTTTTTATTTAGATGTATGATGACTTGAGTACATCGCTTCAACCCTTTATTCTATTACGCTTCACAAACTGAAGGTTCATTCTTTACATAAAACCTAATTTTCATTTATGGAACCCCTACCCATTCTTACCATATCCAAAATTTTTATTTTCTCACTAATGGGCAAGACATATTACAGTTTCTGTCAAACTTAGAAGATTTGAAGTGTAAACAAGAAGTTTTGATTAGGAAAGCTACTATAGCATGTCATTACGGGAATAGGCAGATTAAGATAAAATAACATGCAAACAAATATTTATTTAGAAGTCAAACAACAAAAAATCATTGAAACTAGTTCTGAGAAAATTTGCAACTATAACATTGATTTTTATTTTTTGACTTCTAATTAAATAGGCAGATTTCTGAAAACAGAGCATAGAGAAGTAAAATAGAAAAAAAATTGTATAAGTAAGAGAGGCGAGGAAGACAGATCCTTTGACTGCTGGTATTCGTCATCTCTTATTGACATTTTTATAGCTGTCAGGAGGTGAACTAAGGAAAATACGATGTGAGGAATAACCTGTAATCTAAGAATATATATGAGGTTCTAAAGTTGATTATTTCCATTTCCCTCTCCCTTAAGTCTCCCTTAAGAAAACATTTGCACATGTGATGGGAATGTAACACTTAACATGTTTCAGTTGCTGTATTTCATGTTTGTTTGCAAACTGTTTGTGGCTTGACATACAGTTTGAAACTTCGATTTCCCCCCCTAAATTGTGAATTGCAGATACAGAGGTATGACTGTATGAGATACAGAGATGACTTATATCCATCTGCAAAATAGTTAATGTGAAGATTATATTATAGATTTGTAGCATTTTTATTAAAAAAAAAAATTAATTTTTGCTATTGGCTAAAAGTTTTTCAAAACTTTCATTTTTTTTAAAACTTTTTCACATAAACTCTCTTATTTTCTTTCAAAATTTTTTAATAATATCCATCTCTTAAGTTGTTTCTTTTGAGGCTATTTGTTAGGTTTTCTATGGGAAAATAAATATTATTGCTAAACATAATTTTTGCCAGTCATTTTTATTTCTCATCTGTATTTTATAGATATGTAATATAAAGAAAATTTAAGAGCTAGCTGAAAGTTTTAGGATATAAGAGTTCTGTCCAAAACGAAACCAACTTTGAATTTTAAGCACTAATACACCAACCTAAAAACCTTGCTGTAATTACGTTGCATAAACTCTTAACCTCGATCTTGCATCTGTCCTTTCAAGCCCACCAGCGGCCGAGCGGTAAAGTCGCTGAACACTGGTAGTTCGGTCCGAGGTTCGAATCCCGCAAACAGGCTGGCTGCATGGTGTTTTCATGGTTTTCCCCATGTGTAATGTGTATACGAGCCAGTTTCCCTTAGAAAGTCCTCCACGAAGGCATCCTTCCCCTTAGGCAGATAACCCTCAAGGCTTTGCCATAATTAAATAACTTAACCTGCACTTGTCCTTTACCCCCTTTTTTTATGAGAATGCTACATTAATTTGTCATTTTTTTATGAATGAACTAGTATTTTTTATGTTCAGCTATTATTTTCATTTAAAAAATAAAATATGTTAAACAGTGAGTTTATTTGAAGTTTTACATAACATTATCAGTGACCTTTATTGAAACATTTTATATGTTTCAGCAAGATTATGGACAAGATTTTAGCCTGTCCCAATGCTATGAATAGTACTAACATCTCAAATTGGGCATAACGTCAATTAAAGATGAAAGCTCATAGCATTGTAGAATACTGCTAGGAAAGGGTGTTGATGTGAAGGGGGTAGTACTTATGTTTGAATCAGAAATTTAAAGGTCTGTTGCCAATTGTCTTTCAAGTTTTATATTTTACATAGTGTGAACTTTTATCCAATCATCATTTAGAACTCAAACAAAGAATATCCAAATGTGAATACTCCAGCTACTATCTACACATATTTTTTTTCTCCCTTGCTGTCACTACTAAACTGGGGGGGGGGATTAACTGCTTGGCTGCTTCAGCTATCGTAACACTGTGATTTACATATTTAAAATTGTGGAATGCTCTTCCATCTACTACATAGAACATTCGAGCTTCTTTCACCGCCACTCCAACTATGACTGCTACACAGTTGGTTTCTTTCTTTGTCCCATCTAAAAAATTATCATGCATATACACATATGTATAATATAATATGCACAACTTTCAACAGTGTGAATTATTAGGCTCACACCTTCAGATGCTTAGACCTAACATCTTTGTGGCTGTATTCTTCTAAAAAGTCAATCAGAAATCAAAAATATGTTAAAGATAAAATGTCACTTAATGATTTATGATATGAATTCATAAAATGTACCTGCACATTAGCAAGGCATCTTGATGGGAGAAGGCCGAAGCTAATGTTTGGTGACGTCGCAGCCAAGGGCGGCCAGCCAAAATGATCTTGGGTCAGTGCGCTTTTTTCCCCCCGGGTAATGAGAAACAAATATATTCGTATCTTTCTTTAAGCAATATTTAAAAACTATGTAAAGAATGGATTACTAATCTTTTATATTTAGATAATGGGATTGCATCTTAGGGGAGTTTCTCAAATAATATTAATTTTTGCTTGCTAATCGATAGCATGCTTTGCAATACTATATTTTTGGTTACATACCATTGTATGCAGTTTAATAGTATTAAGTAAAATAAATATTATATCAAATTTTTAACCAGAGTATGACTAGCATTTAAAACTAAATATTTTCATTTATTTCCAAGCGCTACAAGAAACTATGTGTTTGTTGTCTCGTATAAAAAAAATCGTACCCAGAAATTCGAGAGTTGCAAATATTAATATGTCACGTTAAGTCAAAAGATTGACATTCAAGAGAGAGTTATGCATCTCCTAGATGTAAGATTTATCAATATTTGCATTTAATTGTTAATATCATAATTTTAAGATAAAAATGTGTTACTTTTAAATTAATCTGGGAACATAGAGAGATTGCATTCCATTTCTTCATATTTGATTTACACATAGATTTTGACATATTGGTTCTTTTTGCATTTTTTATTCATAGACACATATAGAAAGATGCTCAGTGTAAAAATTTGCAGCAATTAAGAAATACTCATTTTCATAACCAAACATTTGTTTCATAAATTTAAATACTCACTGAAATGTCTTCAAGAAGGTACTCCCAATTACTAATATTAATGTATTAATAAGCATTGATTTTTCAATTTCTGGGGTTTTGCTTGTTTTTTAAAAAAATCATTATCATCAAAAATTTCAATAATTGGTTAATTGAACTAAGGGAAACCCTGCAGTGCTACAACAGTCTTTACATCAAAACATTTAACTGCGGTAAAAACATTTTGCTTTTCTAAAGAGGTTGAATATAATACTTTTTTCGAAAGTGTTTGAGCTATTTGTATAGAATGGTGCTGCTCTATGGTATATACTAATTTTTTTCAAATGGGATAGACTTGCATAATACAGCTTATTATCTATATCATTAAAAGATGGTTTGATTGGTTTCAGTTTGGTTCAATCTATTATTCCTCATACATTTCAGTAAATAAACTAAATCAAATAGTAAAAAAATTTTTTTTTCCCAAATAAAATTCATTTTCAATAGCAGACACCATATCACCATTGCAGAGCATTTATGATTAACATAGTTGTCGGAAATTATGGAAACAACCTCGAAGCTGCAATCATAAAAAAATTTTAACACCTGCAAAGTCTGAATTTTTAAATCATTTGGCTTGAGATTAAGGACAAGAAACAGTGCAACAACTTCTTTATTTGCAGATAAAATTGAAGAAATCATAATTGTTTGAATTGTAGAAGCTTTTTTGAGGAACCCTCAACTTTACCCTTTAGTAATAGTAAGTTTAATACAAATCTCATCAAGTAAAAGATTTCCAACCTGTTCATGATTTTGTAGTTATGAAGATTTCTGAGATAAATACTTTGCATTTAATCTTGTTGTTTGGGGTTAAATGCAAACTATCTATCTCTTAAGTACCCAGCATTTAATGTTATCTTTTTTAAGTAGGAAGGATGCCGTAAAATCAAGGATGAGCTTTCTCGTATTCAAGAATAACATGTTGGGCTGCTATAAAATAATGTCATCATAAGTTCATGTCATAATTTCAGCTGTGTAGGTTGGGCGTTTAGCTTTCAGTAATGAAATCTTTTTCCTAAAAAATTTCAATCGCTGTATCATAATCTGTTGTGATGTATTTTCAGAACACTTCTGAAAAGTTTTAGTTACCAAATCAAGCATTTCTTCGACTATTTTTGATTTGAAAGATTTTTTCAAAGTTTGACCATTTATTACATAGTATATCTTTTCCCAAAAGCCATTAAAACATATTTGTTATATTTAAACCTTCACGAAGAACTGAAACAGTTAAATCATGCTCGACTTTAAATGGCACAGTCACTGCTGGGAAATATTCCATGTCAATACACAAAAAAGTACATAATCAGATGCTTTCATTATTGCCCATGTATTTGAGGATTTATTGCTGTTAAGTTTATATTAAAAAATTCTGAAAAGGTGGCAATGTTGTCTGCAACACGTGATTTTTTTAAAATTAATTTCACACTGTTCCTTTATTTCTCTTGTCTTGTCTTCTGGTGTCTTTCGCTTTTGTGGTAAAGGACAAGATAAATGTTTAGGTTGACCTTAAAAAATTAGTCAGATATGCAATCTTTTGATAAAATTGACATTTTTCTTTGAAGTGTTAATACTGTCTCATTAGGTCGTGTTGCTTTAACATCTCTTACGATGAAATGTTCATCAAAATGCAAAATGCACACACAGTCACATGATCCTGGTACAAAGTCTGTCCTATTATTTTTACTAATGTTTTACACAGTAGTTCATCTGTAGGGAACTTAAAAGTTCTAATATGCTGCATTTGGCTAAGTAATTTGACTTACATCCTGGAATGCTACATTTTCGTGGCATCTGTAAAAGTTCAATCCTCTTAATTAAATAATAACTAAAGGAAAAGGAATAACAGTGAATTATTTAATGCTATACAACTAATACGCTGTAGGCTATAATTATTAACACCCCCCTTTTTAAGCTTAGTGAATGCACAAAATATATGTATAAGCTCAATATTTTTTAAGTTTCAAGAACTTTATTAATATTATTGTCTAATTTAGAAGGAGAAATTATTCTAATAAAAAATTATGAGATTCGTGTTCGTTACATAGTTTGAAAATGAAAAAAGTACAAAAGTAATTTACTGGATTGTTATAATATTTAACATGAACGTTATGTCATATGTAACACAAATGAATAGAACATGAATAAAAATGGGGGAGGAATCTCTTCATCATAAAAGTGTTTGTTTTGTATTGTGAACTAATTTTTAAGAAGTACAGGTCAAACAGAATTAATTCAAGGAAAACGTTAAAGTGAGCTAATAAATAAACTTAGCTTTCGATACATCTTTTTTTTTTTTTTTTTTTTGGATAAAAATTAAATTTACTGTAGTTAAGGAATAGTTAATGCTACATAACTTCTATCTTAATCGTACTTTCTGTTTACGCTCATACCGTTTGAAGATGGCTTTAGTACGATTGCCCTCGCTCGTGATGTCACATCAGGGAAGAACCCCTTTGGATTCGGCCTTCTCCCATCAAAATGGCCTTGACATTAGTCACTCTTTATACATGAATTTTTGACCAAACAAGAAATAACTCTTATTGCATTGCCTTCCTATTCTTCAGATTTGGCCTTGCAGGCGTCTGAAGTTGAGATCTACCTTGAAATTTCGATGATGTGAATCAGTAGAAGCTATTGAAGAATATTTGCTATCTATCCATTTTTAATTTCCTTCTGATTCATCAAAGAACTCTAGATTCATCAAAGAATTCATCAAAGAACACAGAAGGTAGGATATTCACTGTAAAACTGATGTGCAGTCTCTCAAAGTTATTTGCAGAGGGCATTCCAGTGGTAGAGGACATTTTGGAAGCAGTATATAAATAGAGCAAGAGAGTATTTCATATGAGACAAATCTGATTACTCTTATCGATTATTGATTTATTTTAAAACTTTGATTTGTTTTTAGGCAAACATTATATTTACAGTGTATAATTAGAGCAGGAGAGTATTTTGAAGGAAAAAAATCTGATTACTCTTAACAATTATTGATTTATTTTAATAGTCTGGTTTCTTTTCAGGTGAACCTCATATCTGTGCTAAACCATTTGATTGATTTATTTATTTGTTTTGCCTGTAACTTTGTTGTTATATTTTACCATCCTTAAATTATAATCCATTCTTTCTATACCTCATTTATGCATTTTTTTTTTAATTTTAAATTTTCTCCTGAATTTCATTTTATTATTATTATTATTATTGTTATTGTTATTAAGTGTGGTTTCTTACTTACAGAACCTAAGTTTATTAAGTTCCTCTATTAAGATTTCAAAGAATATTTTTTTCTTTCTGAAGATTTCAATTTCAAAACATTCCGTGTAAAACTAGAGTTACAAGGCATCAAAGGAAGTATAAGTTGCAAGTAGAAACACCAAGAGGTAAAAGAGGCATTTGCTGACATTCTTATCATATTTATTTCTTATCATGTCTTATTTAAACTTAGAACATAGTCTTAGAACAAAATGCTGTTTTATTATGTGTACATGATTTTACAGCTGTCATTTTTTTTTCATTTAAATAAATGTAATTATTTTTTTTAACTGTTTAGAAAGTTGTATGAATCAATTATTTTTTTCAGGTGATACCCAAGGTATTGATATAATGTCATCAATTTTATGTAACAGGCTAAATCTAGTTCAGCATCCATACACAATTCCAGCAATTTCAAACCACTTTTTTGATAGCTTTGTATGCATGAATATTTCATTGTCTGCTGTGTCAATGGTGAGATTAAAATCTGAGCAAGAAATAGAAGATTTGCTTGAATATTATGAATCTATTTTGAAAGCATATGTAACTGAACTCCAGAACTGTGATCTGAAAAGTAAGCTTGCAAAGTGTGGGAAAATGTCACCATTGTCTCTAAGGAAAACAGACTTAGACCAGAAGAAAGTATCTGTGATTTCATGCTTAAGAGATTTGACATACTTATTGTCATGTTCACAGTCATCTTTTTCTAGTCAAAATTTAAGTACAAAATTCCATTTTGAAAATGAAGAGGTAACTTCTTTTTTGTTTTCCTTTCCTTTAAAATAAGCATTTATGCTGTTATAAAAGAATTTTTCAATGTGGTGTAGTTTTAAGTATCTTTATAAGAATGTCTAAATTACATGCATAGAAAAATATATTTCTAGAATGTAAAGAATATCCCAAAATTGCACCATTTCTGCGATAAAATATTACCAATGAAAAAAATTACTTTTGACAGGTCAGGTTTATTAAAAATGGAGTGCTACATGAAAGAACAGCATGTTTTCATTGTTGAGCAGTATGCTAAAAATGTTGAAGGTTTGGCAGCTACAGTTCACAGTTTTTATACAAAATATGGTCGGAATGATAATTTAATCTCATCAACTGTGATGAGTTTAATTTAAAAATATAGGGAAGCTGGATCAATCAGTTATCTAAAATACTCTGGTCATCCTTCAACAAGTTGTTCAACATGAAACAGCAAAGCAGTTGGTGAGAATGTTGCTGAAGAGTCCACGGACTTCAGTTTGACACTGGCACTGTGGTCAAGAATTGGGCATTTTCAGATACTCTGTACAGCATATTCTCACAAAAGATTTGCATCTTCATGCTTACGAAGTTTAACCCTGTAGAGACAGCGTGCCATTGTTTAAGATGTTCTCTTGGAATGGATGGAAACTGAAATTAATCATCCTATAGGAGCCTGGAAAGCAATCATCCTATAGGAACCTGGAAAGGAATCATCCTATAGGAGCCTTGCTTCGCTAAGCTTAACTTTAGAAAAAAAAAAGAAAAAAAAAAAGTCCTAATGTCATAATTTTTGGTGCTACTTTAGATTATTACTAAGCTATCATATATGTTAAAATTAGCATTTAATAATCTTTTTCCTTTACATTACATGGCCTACTAGCGGCCGAGCGGTAAAGTCACTAAACACTGGTAGTTTGGTCCGAAGTTCGAATCCCTCAAACGGGCTGGCTGCGTGGGCGTTTTCGTGGTTTTTCCCCATGTGTAACGTGTATACGAGCCAGTTTACATTAGAAAGTCCTCCACGAAGGCATTCCTTCCCTTAGGCAGATAGCTCTTGAGGCTTTGCCATAATCACACACACTCACACACCTTTACATTACATGAAAATATATTAAAAAAAGTTGCTTACTTTGAAAACTAATTTTCGAAAATACCATTCAAATTTTTCCAGTTTTATTTGCTAAAATACATTAATAAACTTTACAATTAATAAAAAATACAAGCATTTACCAGAAGTAAAAAAATCTTTCACAAGAAATGAAAGGCAAACACTCAGTGTGCTCAGTCTCAGACAAAATGTCCATATGAGAATCATTTGAAGTATCACAGTCTCTTTAGAAAATGAATCAACATTTTCATCAGTATCCCTAATTGGCTCATTTACCATGCGAATAAATCCTTCCTCTGATAAATAATGCTTGCTCGTCATAATAAACTGAAGTCAAGGATTTCGTGACTGGTCCCCTAAAAATTTTCCTCACCCATGATTCCATGATTTTCCTCACCCAGAATTTGGTGACTGGTCCCCTAAAAACCCGAGTCGCCGTTTAAAAAGGGGGAGTATATAAGGTATTTCTCCTGCCTTCCTAGCGTGCCTTCGTGGTGTAGTGGTTCTGCACACTGGGCTGGTTTTCAAGAGGTCCGTGGTTCAATTCCCAGCGAAGGTCTTATTAATTTTTCATCTCTCCGGTTTTTCCAAAATACCTAATGTCTGTACACAGTTAACGGTAATTTCTGTTTCAGCATGATAATCCAGTTTTTTGTGTCTAAATTGCAGGATATGGGTGTAGACAACATGTGGTATCAATAAGACAGTGCCACATGCCATACAGCCTGAGAAAAAATTTAATTACTGTGTGAGTCATTTCCTGGTTGTGTAATTTCCCGTTTTGATGATCAGAATTGAAAAACCCAGATCAAGCGATTTAACACTGTTTAACTTTCTTCCTTGGGGTTTTTTGACAGTTTATGCAAGCAAGTCCATGGCCACCTATGCCTTGAAGGAGGAAACTGAGTGTTGTATCAATAAAATTCTGCAACATTTATGCCAAGTGGTCATAAAAAATTTCAACAAAAGAGTGTGTAAGCATCAGCAAAGCTATGGAGGCCATTTACCTGATCTTTCTGTTCCATATTTAAAGCCATATTGTATACTTTATGAATCAATAGAAAATTTACAATTTTTAATTAGAATTTTTTTTTTTTTTTTTTTTTTTGTTGCAAAGAAAGAAATAATTTTAGAAAAAAAAAAAAGAAGAAAGAATTTTGATAGGAAATTACTGTGTTTTCTATCAAAATTATTTCTTGCATGAATTTTGGGACACTCTTTACTTAAAGCACATCTTGTGTTTCTATTAGATGCTATAGGTATTTAAAAGATGTGTTTCGTATTGTCTTAATAATTCTGATGTAAATCATCTTTTCCCCCTCTCTGTTTTTAACTTTATGTGTAAATAATTGAATCTAAAAAATTCATGTAATATTTGTTTCTTGTATTTTTTAAAACATTTTCAATCATTATTGAAATTTTAATATAATTTTTACCTATTAAATTTATTAAATATCACTACAGCATTAGCCTATTTTTTAAAAAACCTTAAAATTGTTTCAAATGGGAATAATAGTACAATTCTATGATGTTTTTTTAACATGTGATATGCTGCAAAATTACAGCTATAATGATTTTTTTACTATGTTTCAGAAAGGTCATCTTAGAATATGCCAGAAGCATGCAAAAATATTTATAAATTGGTAAAAAAAAAAAAAAAAAAAAAAAACTTTTTTTTTTTGGTAGGCAGGAGAATTATAGAATCATAGGCAAAGTTTAAACTACCACCTTTACTCACATAATTCTTTCCTCCTATTTTTACTAATTTTACCACTTTTTACTGATTTTACTTCTGAAAAAGGGAAGTTATATTATTTACTGAGGAGAGGGCAAAGGAAAAAATACAAAAATAGATAAGAAAATTACTGCTAGTTATGTGTTAAAAATATATATATATATATATATATACATTTTTGTTGCTGTTTGTCTTATGGACTATGAGCAGGGGTAATTAATTTTTGCCTTTAAAAAAATACAAATTTTGCCAAAATATAAATTCAAAAATGAAAATTTCATGCTCATTCCCAAAGGAGAAATGGATGCAAATTACTGTATTCAACTCTGTAATAAAAAAAACTATTGCAGTAATACGAAAAAAGTTAATTGAAAGGTAGTACTGTTGTAATCTGAATTTTCTCTTTCCTCTGTGTTTGTCTCTGTTTTTAACTCTGATATTGCAGGTACTAAAACATAACACATCTGTGATGTTAACAGGGCTATTAGCTGCCTTTTTTTGACAATGTATCAAACATATATGACCTGGCCTTCAACTGGCCTGGTCATATATGTATGACTCAGAATATTTTTATATTTTTTGTGTTGCTTTTAAGTAGCATCTTAATATCTGTTTTTCGCCTTGTAAAATATGTTGAAGAAATTAAAACAATATATTAAAAGAAAAATAGTCCATGAATAAAGTACCAGGGGCATTTTGGTAATCAGATCAGGAAATTGCTTCTTTCTCATAACAGTTTTGGAAAATTTGGAATATCAAAAGTTCAATGCCAACAAGTGACAAAGCAGTAACAAATTAACAACTTGATTAATTGCTGAAACAACTAAAATTGAAGCACATGGTATCAAAAATTCAGTTGTATTTAATGCTTAAAAAAAACACCTGGTTTGACTGTCAAAATGCTAATCATATTGCTTGTTTTTTTAATGAAACAAAATCAGTTGAGAAGCAAGGTTTCAGGTGCCTGAGAATTAACATTTATTTAATTTCATAGAAACAAATTCTCTCAAAACAAATAGCTTTGTAAAATATGATAAGAAGTATAATAATTAAATACAAAGAATTCTGAAAGGGCTCAAATTTTAACAAATCTCCTAAAATGTAAGTTAAAATTATTTATCAATGGAGATGGTTCAGGTGGAATAGTGAAATGTTTTGTAGGATATTAGATGAATATACATTTGTACTAACATAGGAATTTTATATGTCTTAAGTAATTCTGTAAAAGTATTTAATATTTTTAATTAGTTTTATCATTATTTGAATGCATTTTTAATTAAATAAATCAGATTAAAAACTGAAAAAATTGTATTCTTAAATACTACATCTGTTGCTTTTAAATAGCTTTGTTTGTGAATCAATAACATGCAGATTAAATTTAAAAGATCTTACATTTTGCCAAATAGCAATAGATCTAATAAAAAGTGAAACAATGCAAATTCTTTTTAAAGACTAAGCCCTTTTGGGCCAATAATCATAATGTTAATGATTTTTTTCGCCCTCATAGATAAGAGTCAAATTAGTACTAATTCTTGATAAGTTATTATTTCTAAGTATTGATGAATCAAATTATGATGATAGAATAGTTGATTCAGAGTCATCTCAACACATGATTAGTAATGAAGAATTTTTAACAGATTTTAAAAATATTACATGAGAAATTTCTTTAGCTGGAAAGTCTCACTCTGTGATAAGTAAACGAATATGTACAACGGAAACTAATAGATGTATTTTCTTTAATGATGCCTTGTATGTCCCGCAGCTAAGTAAGAAATTATTATCAGTATATGCTATATCTAATAATGTTGGTATAAAGTTAAATGTTTTGTCAATAAAGTAGAAATTGAGCTTTCCTTGCAACAATATCCTGAAGACGGAATTCAGCAGCAGTAAAAAGCCATTGAAAGATGAGTAGTATATGTGCCAGATTATCTTTATGCAAAGTTGGTTTTCTGTGGTCACTGTGATAAAAGTAATGAGCGAGAGAAAAATTGGTAATGTTTGTTCAAAATACATTGAACAAGCATTTCGATTCAAAAATAATTCATAAAATGTTCTAGAGAAGTATATTCAAATTACATTTTATAATTTTTTCCTGAATTTGAAATATATCTTTCATTTATTTTATAATTTAACCAATCTATCCTCATTAATAGTGTACTATAAATGTGAGATAAGCCTACATTCTGACTTTATCCATATGCACCATGAACCACAGGTGCCTTAGGCTGTATAATGTTTAGATATTTTAATTCATTTTTCTGAGTATTTTAGCATATATTCAAATATAAACTGGAATGAATTAATTGCAGGTATTTCCTTTTCTTTAAGATTTTTCAAAAAGTTATATACCGTATTTGACGGCATATGACAGTCACAGATTATTATATTAAATTTGTACTCAGTGGTTGCTTTGTCAAATTAGCTATTCATTTAAATTTCGTAAATTCAAATTTTTGCTATGATTTAAAATAATTAATATTTAACATTGAAAATTATTAAGATTTCTTCAGTGTTTTATTTGCAATTTTTTTATAGTTTCAGTAACTCATAAATTTGTTTTTATATATTTGTCCATAATTTTTTTAATTTATTATTAATTATTTAACAGCATATATATTGCTATTTCAGACTGTGGTGCAAGATACTGAAAATGTACCATGTTCCTCATTATTTGCCGAGGAAACAAAAATAAACAGCCTTGAAAATTCAACACATTTGTTACTGAAGACTATAATTGCTCTAGCAAATCCAGATACTTATCCTGTGAGTTTGTTGGAAGGTAGATTTGCATAAATTTTTATATCTTGATGTATTTATAATGTTACATTTTTATTAATACTTCCCTTAATACAGGAAACATTGCCAAGAGATCATTTAACTCTTAAACAGTTCTATTTTTAATTCTTAAAAGTGATTATTCATGATATTAGGTGTGTAAATACTCTCATACATAAATACTCAGCTGTGGGGGGGGGGAGAAAATTTATTAAATCTTAGTTCATTTAAAAAGTCTTAAAAATAATTAAACAGAGTATAATTATAAGTAACTGCCTTTGTGTTTTCGGAACCCTCGCCAAATTAATATTCTTTAGAACTGTTGTCTGTCATATCCTCATCAGAACTCCCTTGTCATTTATTCTAAAGTAGATCACCTTTTGGAAAGTTAAGTTTCAAATAATGTGTTTGTTAAAACTTTTTATAATCAAGTCTTATGAAATCCATATGCAGGCTACTTTAAAAAAAAATGTATAAGTTTAATAAATTAGTCCAGATCTTTTTTAAGGTAATTAACAGAGAGTGTTATTCTATGAACACCAAAGATGAACACAAATATGATATCACATGTTCTTTTAAAATATACACTACTGCCATCTGTTGGCAAGCTAAGAAAATATAATCATAAACTTGTATTTAACACCCCCCCTCAATGCATTCATAAATGGATGCATTAATTTTAATGAACTTCAAGATTATAAAGCTTTTCAATTGGTCTTCTAACAACACCTTTATCCAAATGAATCTCACAAAATGTAATTTTACCATCTCTTTTAAGAATTCTTTAATCCTACCTAACTTCCAATTACAGCGTTTTGCATTATCTTCTCGTACAAGCACAACATCATTAATTTTAAATAAGGGAGAGTTTTTGGGGGTTTTTTGAAAACATGACTGATCTTAATTCTAACAAATATTCTTTATAAAAACTCTTCCAAAAATACTGTATTAATAATTTCTTATGGTTCCATTTTTTAATCAATGGAGGTCTTGTGGATTCTAATTCAGATTCAGGTGAAGGTAAAGCAGTTAATGTAGATCCAGTTATAAAATGAGATGGTGAAAGAGGATCATGTTCATTTGGTTCGTTGTATATGTAGGTTATGGTTCTAAAATTGATAACAGCTTCAACTTCAACTAAAACAGTGTACAATAAGATAAAGAAGCTTTACCTAAGATACGTTTTAAACAAGTTTTACAGATCTTATCAAATGTTCCCAGAATCCGTCCCCTGAAGGAGCACCTTTCGCAATAAATTTCCATTCAAAATAATTTTTCTCAAGAAAATTTAGAACATTTTCGCACAATTTACATCAATATTTTAATTCAGGATCAGCAATTTTAAAGGTCTGAGCATTGTCAGAATAGATAAGTCTACAAATACCTCTATGTGCAGAAAATCTATGCAGTGCTTGAATAAAACACTCTGTACGTAAATTTGATAATAATTCTAAATGGACTTCTCGAGTCACTCCACAAATAAACAATATAATATGCATTTTTGTACCATCTTTACATACAAAGGTCCAGCAAAATCTACCCCACTTACCTTAAATGGTTGAGATTTATCTACTTGGTCAACCCAAACAATTTAGAATTTTGATTTTTTTTTTTACATTTAACGTCATTCATTTCTGTAAAAAAAAAAAAAAAAAAAAAAAAAACACCACTCACTTTTTGATAACATAATCCGATAACACATAGCATTACATATTTCATTTTGGTCACAGCACCAGTCACTCTATTTTGTGACTTTAAATTGTTTATGAATCTAAATACAGTCAAAAGTCTTTAATCCGTACTCGTCAGGACTTTGCCGATTCCGGATTATAGATCATCAGTTTAAATCTGGTAAGATGGCATGCAGAAGTTATAAAATTAAAAATATGAAACCGTAATTTATGAAATAAAGAGCAATTATGATCTAAAGGCTATCAAAATTTATAAAAAAAAAGCTTAATATTTATTTGTTTACTTTATTAAACATTTCTTTCAACATACGCATGCATAAAGCATACATTACGCATAGTCAAAATTAGAAAATTGCAACCAGAAAACTATTTGATGTGTATTCGGGATATTTATAATGACGAGGAATTTGATTTAAATCATATCAAAGGTGAAGTACATCGAGATGAAATACTACATTTAGTAAGGAATTATAAGCTGACTAAAATAAAAACATCTGCCCTGAAGATAAGGATAGTGCTGACAAATCAACTTCCAGTTCATTGTGCATCATGACGTCCCCCCCCCACAGAGCAGCATGAAATTGATAAACAGATTTCGGAATGGTTAGATAAACAAAGGATATGCCTTTATCCATTTTTTGCAGCAATTCCACTTTTTGTTTAATGGACTTCAAAACATACTTTCGCTTTGTAGATCCTTTACATATTAGTAAATATATATCGGAAATTCTATTTGACATAAGCTTACTTTCAAGCTTACTTTTATAAAATTGCTTTAACAGTCTGCAAAAAAATAATAAGTCGGATCCAATTAGAAGATTAAGGAACAACGCAATCTGCAACATTAACTAAAATCGATAATTAGATAATTTTAGCTTAGCTTATACCGTCCATTGTACATTAAACACGCATTCATAAACGTATTATGCACATGCGTAAAGTTATTATGTGCATGCGTAAACGCATTATGTGTTTACGCATGCACAGAAAGTTTGTAGCTTTAAGGTCCAGATTATAGATCATTCCGGATTATGGATGTCCGGATTAAAGACTTTTGACTGTATATATGACATTACTCTTAAAAGTTCATCTAAATCACCAAAGCTCTTTATCTTTAACCCAGGCTGTAAAACACTGCTGTTAACTTGAATCATTCTCTCTTTTCAACAGTGCGTAATATGTTACAATGATCGTTCATTTTAGGCCAATTTATTTCATGTTGATGTAGCCATGATACTCACACACCATACATGATTAGCACTACTCACTTTAATACCATGCATGATTTTGTCAGCGGGATTGTCTGATCCAGGATAATGATGCCACATACTCGGTGATGTTTTATCCTGAATTTCTGGCAAGGGATTTTGGACAAATATTTTCCATTGCCATGGTGAGATCTTTATCGAATAAAGCATGAGAAAATTAGTCCACAAATAAATTTTCCTTGTGAAAAATGCAGATAGATTGTAGTTATAAATCTTTCACTCAACACCACTGCTGTGAGTTTGAGTCTTGTAAAGATAATTTTTTGAGAGGAGCCACTCTGCTCTTGGGCTATCATTAAACCTGCTCCAGACACAGAAGCAATGGAATTTCATGTACAGTGCTGCTCCACAAGCACTTTGAGATGATGAATCACAAAAATAATATAGTTTCAACACTTCATATGTTTCATGAACATCCTGAAAATACCAATGAGGTGTTTGGATATTCAGATCACAAAGTTGCCTATACCATATGTTACATTTGTCTTGTGGATAATTTCATCCCAGTCAATGCCTTTAAGCCATAAATCTTGAAATAGAACTTTTCTTGAATCACATATGGAGCAAGAAACCCAACAGGATCCAAGATCTTCGAAGCAGCTTTCAAAACACAATGCTTTGTTTGATCATGTGACAGAATGAAATCTTTATAATGTCTTGAGCATTAAAACAGAAGGTATCCTTATTAGTATTCTAATGACATATTGTGTGAGGAAGTTCAATAATCTTTATTGGGGAATCACAGCTGGCCAGTTTAAAACTGATGAAGTTGTTATTTGATTTACACTTGTTCTGTAAAGATTCAAATTAAAATTCCATTTGGTCATTGTTACCTTTTTCATTCTATCATTGGCTTCATGATATATCTGTACAGTTTCCTCTTTCATTTCTGATCCAAAAATAAAGTTGTTAGCATACTGAAGTTTTTTAACATTTCTGCAGTTCTGGGTTAGATATTTTTAAATATTTTTAAATGATTCTTAATGCATGGGTTCACCAAAAATAGACTTGAAATAGAAATAGACTACTACATATACATAATAATGACATCATGGTTTCTTTTACAAATATCACTACTGCCATCTATTGGCAAGCTTAGAAAACATAATCACAAACTTATATTTGACCTTAATAGGTTTTCATGTCATTTCAATTTTTGAATGTTTTTTTCTTGGCTGATGATCTGAATATGAGTTGCTTCAATTTAAATCAGAATTTGATTAATAAATTTGATGTCATTTTAACACATTAAAATTTTTTTTTAGAAAATCAACTAAACTGTACACTGCAATTTTTCTTTTCTTGTATGAAGTAAAGGAAGTGTTATAATAGCAAAAAAATCTGGGTATCATATTTAAACAAAAATATCCATTTTGACTTCTATTGAATATAATTTAACGATGATTTTTCATGACCCCTGTACATAAGGATAAAATAAAGGACTCTTTTTCCCAAACAAATTATAGAACTGTTTTAAAATGGATTCAGAAGAGATTTTCTTTGTGGCATCTGTATATACATATGTATATATCTCACATAACTCAAAAATGAGTAGCCTCAGAATGTTAAAATTTTGTATATAGGACTGTTATTAACATGCACTTGTGCACCTCACTTTTTGGTTGCAATCAGCCACACCAACAGTATATATATACCCATTTTTGTTACTCAGCTCAGTGAGCTCAGTTTTTTTTTTTTTTTTTTTAATTATTATTATTATTTTTTTTATTTTTGTATGTTGGTAAATTGTGCATTTTTTGCTTTAAAAATGATTGAATTATGTTGTTCTTATCTTCCGGTTAAGGTTCTTTTGTCGTTATTTAATATATATGCAATAGTTTTAGAATCAGCAGTTTAAAAGTTGTACATTAAACACGCATTCATAAATGTATTATGCGCATGCGTAAAGTTATTATGTGCATGCGTAAACGCATTATGTGTTTACGCATGCACAGAAAGTTTGTAGCTTTGGGGTCCGGATTATAGATCATTCCGGATTATGGATGTCCGGATTAAAGACTTTTGACTGTATATGACATTACTCTTAAAGTTCATCTAAATCACCAAGCTCTTTATCTTTAACCCCCGGCTGTAAAACTGCTGTTAACTTGAATCATTCTCTCTTTCAACAGTGCGTAATATGTTACAATGATCGTTCATTTTATTAATTATTAATATTATTAATGAAAATAAGAAAACAAAATATGTTAATTATAAGCTAATGTATAACAAGTGACAAAAAGTCTCATGACTGGATAAAGCTGATCATGATGCTCAGAGGGTTAAGTGCAGCGAAGCCTAATTTTTTTTCTATAGCAGCCATATTTGTTTACATTTGAAACTTAGCAGAATAGTGAATTAAGCCAGTTTCTGCACCTTTAGTATCATTTTGCCGAGTGGAAGCAAAAGGAAACTTTTAATTTTGTGCTTAAAAAATCTGCCTTATTGCCTTCTGGCTGAATTGCTTGTTTTTGCATAGAAACTGTAATTTTAATTGTATTTTTTTAATATTGTTTTAACTGTATTTGGTGTTTTATGTTTTTCTATATCTTCAATTTTTAATGAAGATATTTTGAGGTTTTATGTATTTTTGCTTTGCCGCGAAGTGAGAACTGAATTAATTGAATGAGAAATATATCTCTAATGAAATTCCAGGAAATAAGTTTATATAAAATGCCACCAAAAAACATGTAAAATCAAATATTCCATACAGGGAAGTCAGGTGGTGTCCACAACAGAATTGTTATTAAGATTTTCACAGGAAAAAATGTGCAGATTATTTGAATAATTGGTTATATTTTATGCAGATTCATTACTGTGAACTTAAAATGTTTTTTTAACTAAATTCTTTTTTATATTACAGTTTAAGAGCTATAAAGAATCTGAATCAACTCTGAGATGTGGATCGATGGAGTTTTTCTTAGCCTATAATGCTTGCATCAGAATATATTAATTGTCAAATTAGCAGAATATTGCTAGAAACATATTATGGGTTTATTATAGATTATTTAAAGAAAATTCATAATATAGAATGAATTAGAAATTAGTTATTATTTACAAACATGAATAAATACAGAGTTAGGCTGTATGTCACTGCTATAAAATAACAGTCATCATGGTTAATATAGTTATGATTTTGTAATGGAGCATTTGTCCATGTAACACTAAATTGCTGTGATGGAATTATTAGTTTCAATAAGCAGAATTACCAATACTTCATTCCAGATGATACACGGGAATTTCATCAATACAATCTCTCAGTTCCAAAGTGAAAGTATGTAGAATTTGACAACATTCAGCCACAGTTCCTTAAAAACAGATCACACAAAACAATTACTTTGATTGCTGAATAGTATATGATCATATTCAAAACATATTTTCAGGATGCCATGGGCACTTTGAATTTTCACTGGCACTTTTATTAAGGTACAGTTAATACCCACATAACTAAAATGTCTTAAGAGTTTGATAGAGAACCACTGATGTTGCATTGTGGGAACATTAATTGGCCAGACAGGCATTTGATTTAATTTAATCTGACTTTTTTTTTTTTTTTTTTTTTGCAATTACTTGAGAGTATAAGAAACATATTTGTTGTACCACTATTAATCCTTCCATGGTTAGGTATGTGTTTGAGATACTTTCTTAGGTAAACAGAGAAAAGTAGCCTTAACAATTGAAAGTTTAAATAAAAAGATTGAATTTGGGAGTATATGCAGCATTCTCAAATGATGTTTCAATGTGCAATGATATCTTGAACGCATAATACACTCTTTTGCACAAAAATTGAAGCACCAAGAAGGACTTTTGCAAATTTGGTATGCAAAAACATCTTGATCGAACATGCAAATGATCAAAGTTTCAAGGCAAATAAACAGGAATTGCGATCATAGCGCATATTTCTAGTGCGCGATTCGCAAAGTGTAAGACCAGTAACAGAGGCGGAAATTTTATCTTTTTTTTAAGCCATTTTAATTCTGTAAAGAAGCAACTAAAGATGCCATTACAACGATATCGAAGACCTTACAGACAACTAAATGACTTGGAACATGGTCGCATTGTAGGGTTGCGTGAAGCTGGGTGGTCATAGTGAGCAATAGGCTGTCACCTGCCGTGTATAGACAACTGCTGTGCAAAGATGTTGGCAGCAATGGTTGTTACAAGGAAATTGCGAATGAAATGAAGTCTCTGGAAAGCCAAGGAACATAAATGCGAGGCACGATAGGATGATTGTTCGCCAGTCCTGCACCATCCCACCGGTATCAATGTTGACTATTCAACGCACTACAGCCACGTCTATACCTCCCATGGTACTGTCCACCATCTCACGGTACTTGTTCTGAGGCGGGGTTACGCTCACAAAGGCCTTTACAGTGTTTGTCTTTGACCCCATAACATTGCCCGACTTGTGTGGAGTGGTGTTGCAGACTGGCATCGTATAATGCCCAACGATGAATCCCGTTTCACTCTTGAAGCAGATGATTACCATATTCATGTCTGGAGAAGATGGTGCCAGCGTTCTCAATCAGCCTTTGATGAATGCCTGGCAGAATGTGGCACAGGATGACGTTAAAAAACCTCTAACCACTCCTTGCCTCAACGAATTCAAGTATGCATTGCTGCCAGTGGTGGTTCAACCAACTATTAATTTGAACACTCAGTGGATGATTGTGAGCTGTGACTAGGTACTATGACCTTGAGTTTTTAATCATTTTATTATCTATATATGAGCTATACACATATTCAATTTCATCAAAAACAACCACTTCTTTCATGGTGCTTCGATTTTTTTTTTACAAAAAAGTGTAGATTCTGCCACGTTGAATGTGATAATACATTCATCTAGAGAATGGTCTTTGCTCCTGTATGATATACAAAGCATGATAATATAACAAAAGAGTTTCTGTAATACATATTATGTGAGGAAATAATTATTTCTATTTTTCGATTGGTCCCCCTTCCAGAAACCTTCAAATGTTCATAAAATATACAACCAGTTGCTCTTTCTCAGTTGCCTTTTATACTATTTAATTTGAATTTAAAAATTTGCATTTGTATAATATAGTAAGTGTATACTTTTTGTGCTTCTGAAATGCTTGTATATATAATTGGTGTAATTTATTTAAATTCATGTGGTGCAGTTCTGACGTTCTCTAGAAACTTTTGTACAAAAAAAAAAAAAAAAAAAAAAAAAAAAAAAATGCTAGATGGTTTCAGAATTTGGTTACAAGATTAAAAATTGGAAAATGGTAAATTTTGAATCCATGAGCAAATTTCTGGGGACTCTTATTTAGAACTGTATAATGGATGCATTTCACTAGCAAAATATATAGTGTGAATTACAAAAATATTTGTTGGTGCATAAGTTTGTGTGGTTCCTCATTGTGTTGTTATTTTTACCATGTTTTGATTTTATTATTATAAAATACACTACAAAACAAACCCATACACAAAATCAACACATTGATTTACTACATAATAAATCAATAATCATTCACTGAGTGATGTAATCACCATCTTTGTCAGTAACCACCTGCAAGCATTCACGTAGGAGTTCAATGCCTCTCCTATAGAACTGTTGTGGTTTTCGGTTAAAGAAATCTGTAAGCTAATTGCTAAGAGAAGCTTCATCGTGAAACTTTTGAACTTGAATGTTGTCAGAGAGAGACTGGAAAAAATGGTAATCAGAATGGGTGATGTATCAGAAATGTTGATTTTTCGTACTTGACACTACAACTCCATATTGATTAGCCTTGAAACGGCCAAAATGAACTGTTAATAACATACAAACTCCTGTTTGCAACAATCAGACTTCAAACTGAAGACAAACAATTGAATAATGAAAAGCAAAGGTTTCACAATTAATGTTACCAACCCAATGAAGAATGGAAGGTCTTATGCACTGACCCAATGGAACGTTGGTAATTATAATGAAATTTAGACATATTTGAATTATGCCTTTAATTAGCTTAAATAGTATCTGAATTAAAAATTCATATGTCCCATTACATGATCATTTCTTGTGAATTCTTACTTCTACCATTGCTTGATTGCTGAACTTCATGTATATGGCCAATCTTAATACTAAATAAATTTCGTTACCATCATCAGAAAAATTACTAAAATCATTGAAATGTTTTTTACTTACACCTTCTAATTTCACAGAGTGCTTATAAGAAAACTGAAGAAATTGAATGGTCTTTAGCAGCAATTGTAGCATGGTCTTACTCATCACCAGAAAAGTAAGTAATAAAATTCCACTAAAATACTATTGCATTTCTGCAGGTTCGGGGATTTGGAGTGATTGATGAGAACACTATATAAAAAATGAAAGCACAATTCAGTAGCCATTATTATTCAGGACAGTTCCAAAAACACGTTCACAGTCATTGAAAAACTACAACAAACATGCTGAAAGAATCAGCAACACAGCCTTCAGGCTGCAACGGTGAAGACAGCTTCACGGCAAAACACTAAATACAGCTCCCGACTTGGTCGATCGCTCTCGGAGCTCAACATTTCAAGATAAAACTCGACGATACACTTGATACTAGACTGCTAATCTGTGTACAGGCAGGGTTTATATAGCTTTTGACCTGCCTTGAAAAACATTCTGGGGTAAACCAGAATGGTTTCTGGAATGTTCACTCTCCGTACATGTCATATCGCGAATTTTGTTGCCTAATGGGTGATTCCGAGCCAAATATGACAACAAATATGACAAAAACTATGACAACAAAAGTATCAGCAACACAGCCTTCAGACTACAAGGGTGAAGACAGTTTCATGGCAAAAGACTAAATACAGCTCCCAACTTGGTTGATCACTCTTGGAGCTCAGCAGACTCAAAATAAAACTCGACGATACTCTCAAAACTACGCTGCTACTCCATGTACAAACAGGGTTTATATATATATATATTTTAATATAACTTGCCTTCAAAAACAATCAGGTAAACTGATAAGAATTCGTTCTAGAATGTTCTCAATCCATAACATATCGCGAATTTTGTTTCCTAATGGGCAATTTTGTGCCAAATATGGCAACCCTCAACCAGCATTGCGGCGGAAGCTATCTTATCGCAGCTAGGCATTTCATAACAATATTGTCCGATTTTTTTACAGTTATTTAAGCAGCTGGTTTGGTAGTTTGTTTAAAGTATAAAGTGTGTTTAAAAAAATTTTGGTAAAAATTTTATTTCCATATCTATTAATCCTAAATGTGTACTTAATGTTGTAAAGTTTTTTAAACTGAGCTTGAGAATTTTATTACAACACTTTTAGGACTGAATGTTTATAAAATTTTCTAAAAATGACTTTTTTATATTATTCCCATGATATGGAATTTCCCTCATTCGTTAACATTAAGAATTAAGAGGTTTATTTTCTGTGCTACATTGGTTTTTATGCGACTGTTTTGGATTGGTTTTGTAAATTATTGAATACTGTATTAAGATTTCATCCCCCCAAAAAGAAATTAGTCTAAATATACAGAGTGATTACAATTAAAGTCCTTATTTCAAAATTACCTGTCATAGGAACCATTTATCAGAATTACTAGAAATATTTTGTGATTACTGCATAATGGTAAACTAATGGAATTTGTTTTAGTGATAGGAAAAAAAAAAAAAAAAAAGGTTAAAAATTTTGCCTTTCGATAGCAGTATGATGCATATTGGTAGAATCAAGTTTGAAAATGACTTATATGTGACATACACATTTCACAGACTTTTGCATTATACAGTCAAAAGTCGTTAATTCGGACACCCATAATCAGGAATGATCTATAATCCGGACCTCAAAGCTAAAAACTTTCTGCGCATGCGCCGCGTTGGCACATGCGCACAGGCGTTTTATGCGTGCGCGTAAGACCTTGACTACTGCACATATGCGTGTGCACAAGTGCAGAATACGTTTTCGCCTGCGCGTTTAATGTATAACGGACGGCGTAAGCTAAAATTATCTAATTATCTATTTCAGTTAATGTCAATGATGCGTGTCCTTAATCTTCGAATTGGATCCCGCTTATTATTTTTTGCAGACGTAAGAGCAATTTTATAAAAGTAAACTTGAATTTTCGATTATGTCAAATAGAATTTCCGAGCTGGAACTTCCAAAGGATCTACAAACGAAAGTATGTTTTGATGTCCAACAAACAAAAAGTTGAATTGCTGCAAGAAATGGATAAAGACATGAAGAATTGACGAGAGGTTAGTGAAAACGAAAAAAATTTGATTGACAAGTTAGTCGGTATTCTCGGCACAGCAATTAACGGGACTTGAACAGCGGAACTTTGTAACTGAACAAAGAAATTGTCTTTTTTATAGAATTAAAGAGAAAGTATTATCACATAAAATGAAGCAACTTAAACAACTTACATTAAGAGAAATATTTAATAAAGTAAACAAAAGAAATATTTAAGCTTTTTTTTTTTTTTTTTTTTTTTTTTTGTAAATTTTGTACTCTTAAGATCATAATTGTTCTTTATTTCATAAATTACGGTTTCATATTTTTAATTTTAGAATTTCTGCATGCCATCTTATGAGATTTAAACTGATGATCTATAATCCGGAAAAATCGATAATATGGAATCGCCAAAGTCCCGACGAGTCCGGATTAACGACTTTTGACTGTACAAACCACAGAATATGCTTTGCTTTTGAAAAATTTGGATTATTTTGATGTGTTGATTCTGGTTGTGCTTTTTTGTAAAAGTATTTTATAAAATAACAGTTCTTTTGTGAAACCTGTTAGAAAATTTGAAACTATGGAGATTTTAATTTATATTCCAATGCCTGGAAATGCCAAAAATTATTTAAAATTTTAAAAAAGGCGCACTTGGCAGGGAAAAGAAATCAATCTATAACCAGACAGTAATATTTATGGATTTACTAGTGCAGGCAACACAGATTGATCCTCACAGTTTCCAATACAGAAAAACACATCAGGAAATATTATCTTTACAAAATTACCTATGTTTAAGAATTATTAAATTCAGACAAGAATGCATGAGAAATGTTTGCACTTCAGTTTTTTATTTGGTAGTAAGTCAACAATGAATAAATGTGGAATACTTTGTAGGCTGACAAAGCACTTCTACATTTTCACAGCTCTTTTAATATGGAAAATTACAGAATCTGGCTGCTTGAAATCCAAAGCTCTATGTCAGGTGCCCCTTCCTTTCCCAAAGATGATTTCCGAAAGGTGTGATGTGCATTTACAGTAGCACTTATTATTCAACATTTTTTTTCAAGCAGCAATTGGAAACCCAATTGCTTGTTTTCACAGTGGTCTTCAATATGAATCTCTCTGAAAAACCATTAATTTCATGCAAGATGGGCTTCTGTTTTCATATTGTAGTGTTAATTCAGCAGATGTACGCTGCGCAAAAAAAAAAAAAAAAAAAAAAAAAAAAAAAAAAGGGGGGGGGACAGTTCTATATCTCCCATTCTACTGGGCCGATTGATTAAATTCAAATTGTGTTTTTCATGTCTCGAAAGCGTGACTTAGGATATATATTAGATTTATATGTAGCACTATTCTAACATAGGTATTTTTACTCAAAATCGGACTTTTTCTGAAATAACATACCAATTTTTTAGCATATTTCAATTCTAGGACACAAATTATGCCAGACTGCCAAGTTTTATAAAAAAAATTAAGAGTAGTTTGTAAAAAATTAGCTCTCAAAATTTTAGCTCCTCAATGTTAATTGAATTTGGCATATATTTATTAATATCTATTTTTTATTAAACTTTTTTGATTTTTCTTTCACATTTCAAATTTAGGTTCTCCAAAAAATTCACCCCTTTTTTGTGTTTTATTTTTAAAATTTCTATTTTTAAATAATTTTATAAAGTTTCTCGAAAGAAATTTGAATTATAACCTATAAAATTTTTACCATCATCTTAAAGTAGGTGTAGTTAGTTCTAAGCATACCTCAAAAAATTAGAGTTTTTATTCAAATTTTCTAAAATATACACGAATTTACATATTTTCGCATTTTGAAATTTGGCATAATGAGCAATAATACGCCAAATATGGTTATGGATTTTTTGTATAGTGAATTGCCACAGCTATTTTTAACCTTAAATTTCAAATAAATTTTTTAGGAGAAGAATTATTGAATTTTTTTCCCTCGATGATGCAAATAAATATTTATTAATACTATATAAAACCTTTTTTTTTTAATTATAGATAATATCATTCATATTTTTTTTTAAATTTCTTTCTCCCCCCTTTTTTTTAAATATTTGTGAGAGTAAATTTTTACCTTTGCCGAGTTATTGTCTGCTACTTTACTTTGACTGCATTTAAATTGAATTGTCTAAGACTGAGAAAGTTCGTTTCATGTTTATTTTCACTA